CAACCCGGCCTGAACGCCTCCAGGGATGGGGCACCCACAGCTCTCCGGGCAGCTGTGCCAGCGCCTCGCCGCCCCCTGATAAAACATTTCTTCCCAACATCCAACCCAACTTCTCTCTTGTACTGTAAAGCCATTCCCCTCACTCTGTCACTCTGTGTCCCTTTCCCACCTGCCAGCTGCCTTAAAGAACTGGAAGGCTGCCATGAGGTCTCCCTGCAGCCTTCTCTTCCCTGCACTGAACAAACCCGGCTCCCTCAGCCTTCCTTTACAAGAGACACGCTCCAGCCCTCCCACCATCTTTGCGGCCCTGCTCTGCCCCTACTCCAACACCTCCAACCCACACCCTGTCTGTGCTGCGGCCAGGCCTGGATGCTGTACTCAGCTGGGACCTGACAGAGGCAGAGCAGATGGGGACGATCTCCGCCCTCTCCCTTCTGCCCCCCTCTCTGTTGGTGCAACCTTCTGGGCTGCAAGAATACAGCGCTGGCTCTTGCTCAGCTTTTCTTCCATCAGGACCCCAAGTCCTTCTCCGTAAGGCTGCTCTCCCAGTCTGCACTCATAGCTGGGACTGCCTTGACCCAAGAGCAACACCTTGCTCTAATCCTGATGCCAAAAGCATTTGCACATATAATCTTTTGAAAAACACTTAGAAATATGACCTTGGAATGCAAGTGAGATCTTTCAATTTGAATTGCATTAATTTATTTACTTTATATAGACTCAAGGCTGCAGATGTTCATAAACTTCAAGGATAATCCTCATTTTAAATATTCTGGCTTTGTAACACTGCCCAACGTCAAAATAAACAAAGGTTGTTTATGATCATCACTTAAAACAGTAACTCAGGAGTAAGAATTAACTTCGTCTGGCACAATTCTCATTCTTTATTTGTAATTCAGCACCCGATCTGTTTTTTAAAACCATCAAAGAGCAGCGTACAAACAAACATCCCCTGCACACCAGTGACCACACAACAATCACAATAAGGGAAGAAACGTTTCCTTTGTTCCATTCTCTGAGATCGCCCAACAGAACTGAGCCAGGCCCTGCTACCCGGTGTGCCCAGAGCCTGCTTCCCTGCAACGCAGTCCTGCCGTGGGACTTGTGTGAGAACACGAGCCTCAGATCCCGGATTTCAGCTTGCAACAGAAGCACAGAAGATTAAGTTACCAGCAAAACAAAACCGATTTTAAATACCTAAATTCTGAGCACTGTCGTGGCATCTGACTGTGATCTGGTTAAGAACGTTACGCACACTGCATTGGGATGTTTTTTTCTACATTAAGATGGTATGGGCATTTGGGGACATCATTCACAGCAACAAAATCTCATTTGTAATATGAAAACCTTCTGTAACGTCGTATTTAGCAAAGCCCTGCAATGTGCACTGGGTCCAGGTACGCCCAGCGTATGATGGAGCGCAGAACAGCAGCGAACAACCACCTAAATCTCCTACTGAAGTCTGCCAGGAACAATTAATTGCACAAATGACCATTGCAATCCAGGACTTGGAAAACCTAAAGACTGAGGATTTTTCAGTTCCAGATGCATTTGCACAAATCTGCCAGAGTTCAGAACTGGGAACTGTGCAGGGTGTGAGCGTGGGCTCTCCTCAAATTCCGTGCTCTTCTGCCTGCTTAGCTGCAGCCCCAAGATACAGCCAGCCACATCTACACAATAAAACCATTGGGAAACTCTTAATTTGTAACCACACAAAAGTCAGTCACTACTGCTTACAACTAACAGCCTCTTGCTTTTCCTCCAGTGCACGCTTTTGCCCTCTCTGCATTCTTCAGTGCCTCCAGGCATCTCTGTGCTCATCTATTCACCACAGCACCAGGTTGATGAGATGTTCCCAGCACTGAGATCAGCCCAATATTTGATGCTCCTGACTGATACAGGAAAGCAGGCTCTCTAGATTTTTCCATAGCCTCTGGCGAGCAATAAAATTAAATGATCACTTTGAACAGCCTCAATCCTTACGGTTGGGAATTGCCATTCTTTGATGATTAACCTTGGGCACTTAGTTCCAGGTCAGCAATCAAGGAAGGCCCTAATTATGCCACTTCACTTTGGCAATCCGGCTGCCAAGCACCTGTACCTTCTGCCTTCCTATTGTCTGTCAAGTAGCAGGAGAAAAGATTTCTTGCAATAGATTAGCATGAAAACGGGGCAATGCATCGAGCTCTTCTTACCGACATCTTGAATCATAAACAATATATGAATGCCTTTGGAAGAAGAGAACTTAATGAAGTAAGGAACCACCCACATGATAGTTTTCTCAAAGACAGATTTCATTTGAATGGGAAATGAAGCACAGAAGGCAGAGTATCACCATGAGAAAGGAAGAAAGCAAGCAAGCAAGCATCTGGGCACTTGGTGTACGGCTAATTAACATGGGATAAAGACAGTACCGATTAACCGAGAGGATCAGAGTTCAATAGTTACAATAGCTAAGATTTAGGCTTTTATGAAATATATAACTGATTGTTACTGGGTGGTTTGATCAGCTGTGAGATGGTCAATGCTTCCCTAGCAACAGCTCGACGCTTCAAGCCCACAGCTTGGCTGGAGCCCAAGATCCAGCACTGCTCAGCCTGCTGCTGCCCTCCCTTACCTCCATCCAGTTCTGCCGGTCACTGCAAGGTTAGCGTTCAGAAGTTGGTTTGTTACTAGAATCTGAAGGGGAAGAAAAGGCCTTAAAATAAAGGCCTTTAAACGTCATTTTTATTCAGTGATTTTCTAAGAAAGCTTATTGTGGTAACGGTATTGAAGAATAAGCATTTCAGGATCACCTGCTTCCCCTCCAACAGAGTGACAATTTCTTTGAGGCTGCAAAGCACAGCTCCTAAGCTGCCTGTGTGCCTTCCTCCCACCTCTCACAGCAGCCATCCGAATCAAACAGCCTCCTGTAAGCTGTTTCTGGGTGAAGGCAAGGATTTCATGGTTTGCAGCTTAGTAGAGGATATTCTCAGCTACTCATACCAGCAGGCAGACAAATGAAGAAACGCCAAGCCTGAATGCTTCTGATCCATTTGTAGAGTGCAAAGGACAAGGCAGCAAAGAATTAACTTGTTTTTACCGGCTCTTCATAACCCCTTGAACAAGAGAAACTAACACAGGTCTTACACACCTCTCCTCCTCAACATCCTGTATCCTGAAAGTACTTTTAAACAACCTGGCCCCACAGAACAGCTTTTTAACAATTAACTGGATGGAACTTCACACCAAAAATAAAAGCCGTGGCAGCTAGCACAGCCATGCTCTTAGCCATCAGATTCCTCCCTGCATTATTTGCACTCAAGTGCCACAGCTTTGTCAGAAAATAGGAGCCTACATGCTGTCCTGAGGCCCTGCCCAGGTGAGCAGCACAGCTGGGCTCACAGCGGTGCATCACTCATGCAAACTCACGGGATGCTCTTTCCATCATGTCCATATAAACCTGTATTTGCTAAAGAAAGTGCCTCCTCTGCTCATTTGAAGCATCACACTTGGGAGCAATAGCTTGTGTGTGTTAGCTTTAATTACCTTTGGGTAAGGAATTAAATAAGGCAGCTGGGAAATGTATGGCAAGGGAGGTGTGGTAAAATCACCTTTAGTGTGCCTGATAGCATCAGAATGGGGCACCTAGAAGAACAGCTTCCATTTATGAACATAAATCAAGAAAATTGATTCCACTTAGTTCAGCTTGTGCTTTCTGCACTTACAGCACTAGCCATGGATGGGAAACTACTTTTAAATAGCTGAATAATTCAAATACTGGTTGCAGTTCTTTAACACGCTTTAATTATCCTAATTGCCTACATCCCCACCAGCCTTAGCTGCTGCTTGTGTTGTCAGCCTGAGCAGGTTGAAAAAGAAAAACTGTAAAAGTTAACTGGCAAGCAATTCTTCCTTTCACTGTTGTAGGAGCCTCCTGAAATGGCTCAGTGGCCTTGCTACAGTTCACCTGCTGCAGTGTGTGACAGAGGGGCTCACTGATGGGGCCACAGCTCTTCTGTCTGAAAGAAACGTGCAGCCTGCTGGCACGCGTCTCGGGGAAGGCCTTGGTGGTAGGTGCTGGTTGGAAGTGATGATCCTAAGGGTCTTTTCTAACCCAGACAGCTTTGTGATGCCACGATAAAGGCTCATGCACAAAAGCCCAGAAACTTGGCCTTGCTCTCGAGAGCTCTGAGGACAGAACCACCATGAAAGTCACAGTGCCTATAGAGAACACCTTGCCCACTGTCAGCTCAGTGCCTGCCTCCCCACAGGCTGGGCCACCTGCACAGCAGTGCCACAGCTCAGCAGGTCTTCAGCTCATTTTGCTAAGTGCTTATATGTAAAGAAGAAATTATGTTTACCTTGTTCCTAGTTTCACCACCAAGTGGCACTACAACAATTAGCATTCATTTCAGGCAGAGAATGATGGGCTTGTGACAGCAGCACCCTGGTTTTTTCACTCTGAGTCACCACTAATCACCCTCTGCTCGTGCTGTAATAAGCCCTGCAGAGGGCTCGCTCTGTTAAGAATGCATCAGAGGGGAGTTTCCATGCAGTTCTTACACTTTGTTGCAATACTTTTTGCTCAGCCCATTTTCCAACACTATGCTAATCTGAAATATTGAAAAGTAAAACAGTACATTTCACAGAAGCTCAACCCATAAGAGTAACCAGTTACTGACCAGTGGAAAAGACTAGGAAAAATATCAGGGCAGAGAGTCCTTCAAGATCTAATGTACTATCTTTCTGTGAAGCCCACTGAAACCCTTCCACGATTTCAACTGTTACCAGTTAGCATCAGACAAAGCTTTCTATTATCAGGCTTGTAGTTTTCTGCCTGACCTTACTTTGTACTTACACCATGCACTAAGGATAGGGCAACAGACACACTCTCCTTCAGTTCAACCATTCAAAGTTTTACCTGCTTACAAAGAAAGATCCAAAGGCAGGTGAAGAATTCTATTTCAGACCTCAGTCCCTCTCTGCTCACGCACACCTACCCAAAGACACAAACTTACCTGCTAAGCTCTGCCACTGCTGCACCTGACCACACCATCAACTTCAGCATGCTTCCCTGCAGCCAGGAGCACTTCCACCTCCTTCCCTGTAAGGAAGGAAAGAAGCATTAGTGACACGTACTCTCCTGTATCAGCCTGCAGGTATCTCCCTCCCATCCAGTGACTGCTTCTGCAGGCTTTGCTGCCACTGAACTGCCGCAGCTCCCAGCACTGCCCACCCTGCCCCATCTTGCAGCTGGAACTGCTAGGCTGGAGCACCAAGGCAAGGCAAAGCCCGCCGTGGCCTACTGCAGGTCCTGCTGCAGGCACTGGCAGGAGGGAAAGCCAGCCAGCCTACAGGAGAGCTGCATCCCATCTCCTTACTCGCCACTGCAGGCCCCTGGTGCCCCTAGGGACCAACACTTGTGCACAGACCCTGCAGCTGCAGTGCTGGGCAGGTGGAGCAGGAGCCCCACAGTCCCCAGCTGCAGCTGCCTCCTCGCCCTTTTAACACTTAGTCCTATACCCCCCACATCTGCAGCTCCTCTAACAAACTGGAAAGTAAGTAAATGGAATATTTTTCTGGGAGAACACTGCAGCAGCCCAACCTTATCTACAGCAATGCTTGTGCTGTTCTTCTCATGCAGGCAATGCCTGAAATAGCTTACTGACTCATAACAATTACAACAAAACAACGAGCTGGGAGCCGATATCACACTGCATGAGCAGTGCTTGTGGCTTCACCCAGGTTCTGCTGTACCTTGCTGATCCCTGTTGACAAACACACCTGCGAGGGACAATTCTGCCCACAACACATCTGCAAACAATGACCATCCAGCACACAAACCTCTTCTATGACCAAAGTGGAGCTCTTCCCGTGCTCCCCTTGTACCTGGTGTCCTCATGGCACTCAGAAGCCCCACTCTGACTACTGTCACATGAGCACGGCACACAGCAGTCAGTCACTATGGCCAACTGCTGTACTTAACTACAATGCTGTAACACAATGGAAACTGCCACAACGAGAGCATAATAACAAATCTCCAGGCTACAGCAAGTAAGGATTTGCTCAAACAAAGCAACCATAGATACAGAAAAAGGAAAGAAGCTGCTTACCCTTTGAAGACCTCAGGTACATAGGAATCTCCACTGAGATACCTTCGCCTCCACTGCCAACCCCTAAATGAGGTCTGGGAAGGCGTGCATCCTGGCTCCACCCCTTGCATCAATCAGGTCCATTGCCTGCACCTGAGCTCCCCTGGGCTGGCCCTGCCTTCCCACCAGGTGCCCAATCACTGTCCAAGCTGTCTCAGCTTTTCCACTACACTAACCAATATCTAACATGCATGTCTGCTGTCCTCTGCACTCCAGTAACTGCTGCACAGATATTTCAGAAACACTGCAACAATTCTGGATTGAACAGCAGTTTATAAGAATGTCTGAACGCACTCTGGACCGTTATGGAAAGTGCCATAAGATTATCTGAGATACAGACAACAAGGGAACTGACCCAGTCCAACAACAAAAAACAAAGCATTTCGTGCCACATCACATTCTTCTAATGCTTCATTTTTTAATTCATCTGGGGCACAGCACTCTGAAATGACCCAAGCGCTAACACAGACGATGCGTTGTGTTGGGGCATCCTGCCATGCTGCAGCTGGAATACAGACACACAAACAGGGCAGTCCCACAAATGAAATCCAAGTCTGAAAGCAGCAGGCCAATGTGCAGAGCAGGGCAGGCAAAGCACTGCTACTTCTTCAACCTCACCCCTAACATCAGTGACTGCACACAGCCGTGGCACAGAGCACCTCACGATGCCCCCCGGCACGTGGCGTGGCATCATCCACCTGCAGCACATCTGCACACAGAGCAGCACAGACCCTGGGCAGCGCTCCTTCCCAGTCCAGCGTTCCCAGCAACAGGGCATTTTTAAAAACAGGAAAAATCCTTCTTTTTTAATTTCCAAGACCAGACTCTTTAATACTTTTGTAAAAGTAAATGTGATAGGGGTGTGTGTGATGCCTACTGTGGCATTACTTGGGCCATTATTACAATTGAGTAACAACCACAGCAACAGAACCCAGAAACCCAAGTCTGTGTCCTCTGCAGACTGCATGCTGGCTCTGGTTCCATGTGGAACTCACAGCTCCATTCGGGGTGCAAGCAGTCCTCCTGCTCATTACACACCTGCCCTTCTCCATTGTTACAAAGGCGAGGAGATTGAAAGCCTACAGCTGCTTCTGAAATACTCAATCCGTGGCAATCGGTGTAAACCTGTGTGGCATCGCTCCAGCTCCTCCTTTCATTTATTTCATTTACAACCAGCCAGCTTCCTGCAGCACACTGCTGTACTGCAGCTACGTGTGAACGTCGCTGGCCAAAATGCTAAATGCATTTCATTACCCACAATCTCTATTTTTCTCACTTTCTAGCAACAGGCTGCAGTTCCCACCAGGTGTGAAAGTGCAGCAGTACAACACAATGGCAACTTCCTCCCAAGTCCCTGGCTATCCTCCTCTTAACCTCGTTTAAATCAAATTAAGTGCTCTGGTGTCTTCATAATCACATTATCCCAGATGAAACATTATTTCACTTTTTCCTTAAGCAGCACATACACAGCGAAAACAGCAGCAAAACACTGAAAACAAGTGATTTTTGTTACCTTTAGCAAACAAGCTTTCAGAATGAACTCAATTTACTTCCAGGTTTTGAGTTCATCAGAACACACCTGACCCTGCAGCAAGGCATACCAGCACGTGGCAAAGCTATCACAGTGCAATCAACCTGCCCGAGTTGCCCTGTAGGGCCTCCCTCCCTCCCAGCCTGGTCACCACACAGTTAAACCCTCCCTGCCCAGACCCACCTACAGCGGGTTTGTCCACAGCTTGGTGCTTAGTGACCAGAGCAGAGGTGCCAGAGCAGCACAACCGCCAAGGACAGAAACTTGCCATCTAAACTGATTCCCAGTGACCCCTCAGCTGCAGCCCTCTGCCAGCTCGCAGCAAACCATACAGGCACACTGAGCCTCTGACTGCGCCAGGATGTTGACGGCAGCCACCCAAACTGCCCTCCATCACTGTGCTTGTCACTGTCACTGCCCAACGTGTTTCCCAACAAACACCAAACTGCACGAGGCTGTCCTTTTGGTCCCAGGAATTCCTTACCTTTCCAGTCTCAGAGATTAAGCACACCCTGGGACGTGCTACTCTGATTTTCAGCTGAGGGAAAGCCAGCCAGCCAACAGGATGTAGACGTATTCTTGGCTACAACTCATAGTACACATCTGTAAATAAACAGCCTATGGTGCAGTTTCCCTCCATCATTACAAAGCAACATGGAGCTCCAAACACTGGAGAACCAAAGCAAGCAGTGCTCTGGGTACCCCAGCTCATTTTCTGTTCATGCAGTGAATGGAAGTGCAGTCCCACTCCTCATGCTGCTGTTTGGTGCCTACTGTGCCTTCTCCCTCCCTCAGAAACGTGCTGCCATTTACATCCAGACAGATGTGGAGATTTGTCACGTTTATCACCTGCAGTTGAAGGCACCCTGCAATTGCAGACTATCCAGAAGAAAACAATGTCAGAACATGGCCCAAGCTCTGCCTGGCCCAACAGACACGTGTCACACAGAGGGAACTCAGGCACAGCGGGTGGCAGTGGCTGCGTGGCAATGCCAGGAGCAGGGCTCTGGGCCTGGCATCACACACCCAGCATGGTTCCATCCACAGAATTCTACTGCAGTGCCAGTACAGCATTTACAAGGTGATCAGGGCCTACAGAGCACATCTCCACCTATTCCATTCCAGCCTTCTGTTATAAACTGTTTTGGCACAGACTGGTATGGAACAGGCTGGCCTCTCTTAGTCTTCCACAGCACTGAAACCACAGTGGCATCTGGATAAATCCCTCCTCGGCCAAGTTCCACCTGAAGAGTAGAAGGCTCTGGGCAAACAGACCCAGCTCTGGCCCAATACATACGATGAAATGGGTTCATCTGCTCCATCTGTGCGCTTCCAAACCTGGTGATTTCTGCTCCACAACACTCCAGAGGTTCTGGAGTTTGGATCTGTCCCCAGCAGTGCTCCCACAGCACAGGGCAGAGGCTCTGTTCACAAAAACATTTCCCTTCCTGTTAATACCTTCCATAAAACCACTGCTAATCCCACACAGGGAGGAGGCCGACGTGCTGAGAGCTGAGCAGGAGTCATCCCCAACTCCAGCCCACAGACACCTGAGGAGGATCCCTGGTGCAGCTCGGCTGGCTGCAGGGCTCAGAGCCCCAACGCCACGCAGCCTCCAGTCCCTCAGAGCGCTGTGAGACCCACACAGATGCACATCATGGGATTTTCCACATTTGAGGCAGAACAAAAAGAAACAGCAAATGCTCTCCAGCTGGCATACTTAAATGCTCTTCATCTTCACCCGAGAAACGTGCAGGTTAATTTCAGCCGATGACAGATCTCTCATCCAAATGTCACTGCAGATAACGCGAAGCTGTTACACACAGCCTGCAGTGAACCTTACAAAGGAACATCAAGACGTCGTGTTGTACCTTCAGTGTGTTCATGCTAAGCACAGAACCAAGGCACGAGGTTTGCATCCACACCTTTAAGCACTGACACAGAGGAGCTGCTCGGAGCCAGTTGGTGCAGGAAGGCCGTGCCGCTGCTGGAGCCAACAGCAGATAGACACCACAAGGCAGCAACACAACTTCTGATTAAGAATAACGTGCACACAGAAAATAATGTCCTGTGATTGCCAGGGACACCCCACACATCAAAAGGGAAACACAACGAGCCCGCAGTCCTTTGCTTCCATGATGTTCATCTCCCCTTCCTGGGGGCTGAGGAGCTCCCTGTGTGCAGTGGGCGCAGCGGGGCACGTGCTGCAGAGAGGGGCAGTGTGAGACATGGACAGAGCCACAGGAACAAAGGCACACATGTAAATACGAACCTGAGGAAACAAGACAATAAACCAAGTGGTTCTACTATTTACAGGTGCTGTTCTCGAAAGTTGTAAACCTTCCATGAACATTTTAAGTGACACTTTCAGAAACCAGAAGGGCTCCTGAGAAGGTAAAAAAAAAAAAACAAAACAAACAA